TGGACATACTGTCAGTAGTTTGTGTTTTCAACTCTAAACAATTCTATAAAGTAAAAGCACAAAGGAAAAATATGCAAAAGAACAAAGATATAAATAAATTAAGATGTATTCATATTACAATTACAAAAGGGAGGAGAGAGGAGTAGGAGGACCCTTGGAAATAGCTATTTTGATGGGAAGGTTTAGAACTCCCCCATTCCCCTGAACCGAGATAATTAAGTACATGGAAGCAGGCAGAAAACACTGATGGCCTTGGCCATTTCAACTGAATAATTAAACATTTACATGTATTAAGTGTCTACTATATGTACCATTGGGTAATGTGTTTTAGATTCAAAAATGTCAAGACAAAATAGGTCCCAATCCTCCCCCGCTCCAGTGGTAGAGTCCAAAAAAACTTATAACACATTATACTGTGCTTAGGAAGATGGGGCAATCTACTTCCATAGTGATACTGCCTCGGAAACCCAAGGAGGGGTTGCTATGAGTTGAGTCCGACTCGACGGCACATAACAACAACAACAACAGATTTTGTATGGTTCTCCCACTTTGACCACTACTTTTAGGTGTCAGATGGCATTCCATACTGCAAGATGAGGAATGCCATTCCCCATGGGTTATATGACAGCTCATCAGTTTTCTTCCTGTGGAAATGACATAGTTGGGAAAACACAGTAGTGTCCAGTTTCCCCTACAGCCTTGCCTCCTCTTCTGAAATGGGCTTCATGAAGGGTACACCCAGGTCTAACCAGCAGGCTATAGATATGAAACAATCCAAGGCTAAGATAAAGAGAGCTCTTCATTTTGACTGCTTATTCCCTCCACCCAAATTTCCTTTCAGGTAGCTGTGAACAACTGAAATGGGGATGGGCAAGGAGTATCTATTTAATAACACTGTGATAAGATGAAGTAAGATATAAATGATAACACTATATTACTACTATTTCCTTATCTCATTTGATCACTTGAAATGGGCCCTGTCTTAAACTACTAGGTTCCAAAAAGTGATTGTAAAAATTTCCTGGTTAATTAGTAATCTTCTCTAAGTGACAAGAGGAAATCCAGAGCAAAGAAAGGGCTAGAAGGGACTCTGAGAGGTCATGTATCTCCTGACTTCAGAGAGACTATCGAAAACCTCATGAACAAATATAAACTCATTTTTAGATGACTTCAAGGAGAAGGATTACATTTTCCTTCAACAAAACTGTCTATTGTTTAATAGTCACTGTTGGTAACATCTTTGTGACATCTCATCCAGTTATCCTCAACTGTAGAGTACATCAGAATCACTTGGAGGGGCTGTTAAAATACAAATGGAATGAACAGATAGTGGCTGGAGCCTGAGAACATGCATTTCTCACACATTCCCAGGTTCTGCTAATGCTGCAGGCTCACTGTGGGAACCACTGCCCTAACCTAACCCTTATTGGACCACACGTTTATATTCTCAATGGAAACAGATAATAGTCAACCATCATTCTTTGGTATTGAGTCATATAGATATGTGAATAAGAATCTGAGTCCCCTAGTCATTTTTTTCCTCCAGGCTAAATAATACAAGTTCCCTAACCTCTTATTATAGTCATCATTTTCCAACCCTTTAATCATTTTTTGAAGTTTTTTGTTGAGGCCTCTCCAAGTTTCTTAGTTGTGGAGCCATGAACTAGACTTAGAACCTTAGTCAGCGACAGGCTGATGAGTATAAATGGAAGAATGACTCACAGATTCATGCAATGGACTTCTATTTATTAATCTCTAATACCTGAGCTTGCCTTATTAACTCTTCTTCTGATTCATGCTCTTCTGACTCCTTCATGAGCTTCAGTAATGCTTAGTTGGCCTTTGGAATGCCTTTCTTCTGAGAAGCTTAAAACATTTCTCTAACTAATTTAGCAGTTGACTCAACATCCTAAAGCAACGTAGGGTTAAGAAACTTGTTCAAAGATACCTTGCATATCAGTTTAGGAGGACAAAGAATATCTGGATTTCCAGATTTCTATCTAAACACAATTTGATAGAGAAAGATGTTTCTACATTTCTTCGGCTTATTAAGAAATCGAGTTTACCCCCCTCTCGTAGTAATAACAACAACAGTTCCAGGTTCAGGTGAAACTGCTGACTCCTTTCCCTTTGCAGAGAACTGGAAGGGAGGCATCAGGCTCCTGGGGTGACTGCTCTCACTTAACTCCATCACTTCCCCCACTGCTGGGAGAAAGAGGGAAGCAGTGCCCTCAGTGGCCCTGCAGCCTACTCTAATCCTAATCCTTCATTTGACCAAAGACCAAATGAACTGAAAGCTAAATTGCCCTCGACCCACCCTACCTCATCTTGTTTTCCTTTTCTTCATTCTCATATTCTTTCTCCTGACATTTTATTGAGTTTATTATGTCATGGGGCCAGTCTCTATGCACTTTTAATTCTGTACACAGTCTCTGTCATTTTAGCACGTGAGTTCTTTGAGAGTAGAAACTATGCTTTCTTTGTGCATTGTAAGTGCTCTGTGGGTGCTTAATACATGCTAAGTAATAACAGCAGTCCCAGCATTTCCAGGAGAAATCAGCGTTCATCCCCCATGGTCAGATCTTATTACCGTATATTATGTATAAGATGGACAAGGCCAAAGGCACCCCTCTGCTCACTGTTCTTTCCCTTTAGATGAAACAGGTGAAACTTAACAAAGCTTCCTCCCACAACACTGACCCTTGAAAGAACATTCTACAGATGTGATCAGTAAGCACTTGCATTCAGCTCCAAACCCAAAGGCAACTTATTATATCATGTGGTTCCCATAGAGCTATACAGACAAATTACCTACTAAAAGCGAGGTGGATGACAGGGACACAGATTCCTCCTTTCTCTCAAAATCCCTCAAAGTTACAGAGCAGAAGGCTATCTCCTACAAATAAAGTAACAGTAAAAGAAATCTATGGCAATCAGGAGCTACTATGTCAGAGCCTCTGGGTGTGTAACTATTTTAAGAGGCAGAGGAATAGAATGAGAGAGCAGACCGCCAGTGAAAGCAGCACAGAACAGGGCTTGAGGATATATGTGTACATTCAGAGTTAGCTGGAGTGAGGCCCATAGCAGTGGGAGGTGCAGGTGTGCACAGCACATGGGTTGGAACCAGGAGCTCCCGGACGCTACAGGTCATGAAGCTGCTCATGTTTCTCAGCACTTGGATTCCCCATTTGTGCCTCTATGAGCCCAACTCATTGTGATCTGTCACACCCAAGGTCGTAACCAGTCAACACTTCTCAAAAGGGCACTGTAACTAAGATCACTTCATCAGGCACACAGGCAGAAGAGTAGCGACAAGAACCACAGTACCAGCAAACCTGAGAGACTCCGGGACTGTCACTGACATAATTAAAACACTCTCCTCTTTCACTCACCGGTATCACTCTCTCACAGCACATAAATTAATAACATAAACACTGTGAATGTATTTTATGACCATTTTAGCAACTCCTCCTAAAAGAAAATATGCTTCTTAGTAGTGAAAAAAAAAAAAATAAAATAAAAATTTCCTTCTGTCAATTAAAAACATACATAAATTCTAAACAAAAGCTTGAGAAATAATCTAATATCCAACTACATACAATATAGCAGAGTTCTGATAGTGTATTATTAGCAACTGGCAGTAAGAATGAGCACTGTTATATTCTTTGGGTAAAAGTATGTATTACATAGCATCTACTGGAAGAAAATCCCTCTTACTGCTTGGGATTAAAACATTATAGACTTTTCTGTTGTAATTACAACTCATCTGGACTGCAAATTTCTCTTCTGCTCAATAAAAAATGAAGATTAAAAAAAGTTTCCTTCCAAAAATAGCCCAAGAACTCAGTTCTATTTTCCTTTCTTACATTTTTTTCCCACTAAATGCATCACTAAAACATTTCCTTTCATTGTTAACATCTTATGTCACTTGTACTTAAAAGCAGACAAAACATCATAACAAAAGAGTTTTTAAATAAAGGTTTTCAAAATGAGAAAATGACATTCACAATACTAACGGAGGGTATGCCTCCCTCCTTACTCAGAGATGACAGAGACATGGATGGCTGGTAAGCAGCGACTATCCTATTTGAATGGTTTCATTAAAATCAATATTCCCAAAGCTAATATAATCCGTATTTTAACTGATAATGAAATTAGTACTTGATTCTGTGTTACAAGCAAGTTGTCTGACATAAAGTCAGTCTACTCTGAATTAACACTCATTTCAGACTAGGCAAGGTGACTTGCATTTGCCATTCAATATTGAAATGTTTAGTTTCCATCGTAAATCCAGCTGGCAATGATTTATTAGATTAAGGATAGTTAAGATTAGAGAATGTCATGGCCTTTGGTTAATTTTGATAACTAAATCAATCTTCCAGAGGATGCTTTCAGTCACTTTCCAAAGCCTTCTAATTTTTTTTTTTTTTTTTAAGTATTTTTCTTTAGGAATACACGGGTCTACTTTTAAGCACAAAATCCTCCTTAAAAAAGAAAAAAGCAAACAAAAAAATTGACCATCTATTTAAAAAAATTACATTTGACACATTATTTCGGCATCATAAACTTCTTGTAGCTAAAGGGTAAATATGGTAATAATAGGAATTCACTTTTAACAGCTTTTCTCCCTAAGATTTAGGTTACCATAGAAAATAAAACTCAATGATACAACATAACGTTTCCATATTTGCAGTAACCATTTCCATTATCAAATATTTAATTAGAGAAAATAAGTAATAATCTACAGATTGCTTTTGCAAAAATAAAAAATAAGAATCAAACACTTCCTCTTGGGAAAACTAAGTAAGGTAGGTTTCTTGCAATAGGACACATGTAAAGAAAAAGTTTTTGCCCATACTTAGATTCCTCTATAGATTTACCCACCTCAAAGTCTTCAGGTTTTCTCAAGAGATTAAAAAAAAATTACTGTGATAGTAACATTCAGAAGGTTTAAGGAAAAAAGAACAAAGAGAAGTCTTAGAAATTCACCCAGTACTTACAAGTAGTTTTAAAGGAAATCTGAGCCACAATTCTTCAGAAGGCTGTTCTCTCGATCATAAACACAATCTGAAGTCTAAAATAGATATCCTATCACATTAGGCCAAGAAGTCATATTTCAGCTTACTAACTTCTACTTGGGTAAACAGTTTTACTACTCTGAACAAATCCCAGCTAAAATTAACTGCAACAGCGCAGCAGGCAGGAACACGCCGATTTGCATCATGTGTGCCGGGATTTATTCACTAGGACAACATCAGTGTCCTCTTAATGGGAAATTTGGCAAAGGGGCGTGCTCTGGTGAACAATACATAGCATCATGATTATGCTAATTACTGAATTCAGTCCAATAATACTAACTTAAGTTGCTTTTGCAAGTACTGACAAAGATAAAGAGTAATAAGCTCCTTTCACAACAGGCATTCACTTGCTTTTTAAGCCCATTCAAACCACACAAAACTTTGGCAACAAGGTGGCAGTACTGTATGCTCTTCACAGGGACAAGCAAAAGAAATTCTGTCAGATTATTTCAACGGCATGAGTAGATGCTATACTGTGTGAAATTAAATGGACATCAAATACACATGCCAAAAAGTCTATATAAAGAAGTAGCCTCAAAAGAAAAGCTTTTCTCTTTACGTATAATGAGCTAGTTTAGTTTACTGGCTTTCTAGCTTTTTCTTCTGCACCCCCCAAGGAGTAAGGACACAGATTCACTAAAAATTACAACTGAGAACAGACATCTCAAATATTTGCAAAAGGCGTCGTCTTTGGCAAGAAGCATTCTGAAATACATTTCACTACCTAGGGTGGTTTATCAATCTGAGTCAACTCCACGACATCCACCACCACCACCACCACCACCACCACCACCACCACCACCACCACCACCACCACCACCACCACCACCACCACCACCACAGCTGACTGACCATCTACAATGCACAGTATAGCTCAAGCTAACTCTAAAGCCAAGTCTACAGCTTTTGTAATGTAAAACTTCGAAGTAACACAAAACTTTCTTTAGAAAACATAAACTCTCTTAAGAAGTACAACGTATCAAAGACACAGAACTATTTAATATCTATTCAAAATGGTTTAGACTAGTTTGCTTTAGATATTTAAGTACTAATGACATAGTTTGCTCTCACCAGATACTTTATGAAAGATATCAAAGCACTGTACTGTCATCAATCAAATCTCCAGATGTCTCTGGGAGATGTCATTTCCCCCATTCTCTCTTTCTCTCTCTCTCTCTTTTTTTTTTTTTTTTTTTAACAAATAAGACTACAGACATAGGGGATGTCACTGTCTTGTCCAGGGCTTTTCTCTGAACCCACACTGCATCGCTCCACCCCCGTTAGACCCTCTCTGACAATTCTTCTATATAAACAATTGAGCTATAATCCTACAGATCTTCTTAGAGCTGTTTGTTTTTCTAATTTGAAAATGTCATATGTCAGTAGTCATCAAGAGATTTAGTTTACTCAATTCCCAAATCCCAGTTCTGAGCTCCAGGGGCTTAAAAAACATCTTTTGATTCTGTATCCTGTACAATGGAAACTTAAAATGTGACCATGTCCTTATGAGGCACTGTCCATCTGTGGCACACAGGCCAAAATGGCACAGGGGCTGATCTTCAGCGGTACAAACTGGTAGCCACAAGTACAATCCCTCCTCTGCATTGTTTACAAAAACTGTTGGCTGCTAGTCTGGGATTCCACCTTGACTGCCCAACCTGGGGTCATGGCAGCCAGCACTTCCTCCACCTCCATGAGTCAGAGCTGGTGTGCACTGTACCAGCTAAGCCAAAGTTGCTGGGAGGTGGGCATTCCACACGCTATACAAAAAGGGAAGAAGTAGGCACTTACCAAAGGTGATTCTCAATAATCCGCAGCAAATTTACTCTTGAATTCTTAATGTCAAAAGAGAACACTGAGGCTATTTTTGACACAATGATCCTTATTATCCTATTATGCCATAGTTCAGTAGAAGAATTTAAACCAAAACATTATTTCTTCCTTAAACCAGAAAGTAAGAAAAAGCAAATATACTACGTTTATTTTTGATCCTTCAACTCAGACTGTTGCTTTGCATCAGAGCAGAACACTATGAAGACCCCACATCCATTACACTGAAGAGAGGAGGAGACTGAACAGTGTTCCAGTTCCTCATGTGTCAAATACGCTGAGTATGACTCCACTGTTCTTTCAACAGCAGCCACACCTGTTCCAAAATGCAAGAACCAAAACATTCCAAAGAAAATACTGTATCCTCCAATCTGCATTAGTCACTCTGCTGCTTCCTTTGATTAGTGAACATAAGAGTCAAGCATACTCTTGTCCCAATCATACTTAGGACAGCAGAGAAAAGTCCACGTGTATCATAGAAAGCAAGGTAAATTCTTCCCATTAATTCTCATAAATTTTTGGTAGTGGCAAGGAGGGACAGGCAGCACTGTGTGAGTAGGGTGGCAATCTATGGGACCTTTAGTTCAATAAATCCATTAAAAAGGCAACATGAGCGGTGCTAATGAGTTAACCTATATACTCTCTAGAACAGCCACATCTATAATTTTAAATTTTCTAGTGTCTAACATTAAAAAAAGTAAAAAGAAACAGGTAAAATTAATTGTAATAATACTGAATAAAAAGCTCAAGATATCCACAATACTATCAGCTCAACATGTAATCGATATAAAAACTTATTGTGAGCTATTTTATATTTCTTTTGTCTTAAGTCTGCAGGATCCAGTGTATCCTCTACATTTACAGTGTATCTCAGTTGGACTACCCCCATTTCAAATGCTAAGTAATCACACATGGCTAGTGACTATCACATTGGACAGAGCAAGTTCAGAAATATCTTCTGGCAATTTTTCTACAACACATATTAACACGTACATGTATATGGGCATGTGCTCATTCACATACACCCAACAAGATACTCAATAAGCATAAACTAAGATATTGGGGCAGTAAGCAAAAAAAAAAAAAAAGTCTGGTTCTTGTCTACTCTGTTGCAGGGTACTGCCATGAGTTGGAATGACTCAATAGCACCCAATACCACTGAAACAACAATACAAAATGTTCTGTTTCACTGTATGTATTTTTCTGGGGAGATAATTTTCTTCATAGCCTTTTCAAAGAGACTAGTGACCCCAAAAGGCTAAGAGCTATGAGTGTTGACTAGCAGATGGTAAAATAAATAGAAAGCTAAGAAATGCAAAGATGAGGAATTTAGGCAGACAGAAAGAGAGGGGGAAAAAGGAGAGAGACAGGGCTAAAAGACAAATAGGCCAAAAGGAGTAGAGCAGAAAGACAAATAAGTCCATCTCATGGCATGAAATTCACTTATAAAATCATTTAACAAATATGGATATGTTCCAGTTACTTGCTAGGTGCTGAAGATACAGAGACAAAAGACAAGGTCTCTATGTTCAAGGAACTCAAGTTATAGTGAGAAGACAGACTCACCCAGGCAAATATAACATTGGTGAGCATGAAGATGAAGTTATGTGCAATGTGCTATGGGAGCACATAGGAAGAGTGAAGTTTATTTTTAAATGAAGGTTATTTTCTAATAAAATATAAAGTTTTTACATATAAGTTCTGGAAGAACCCAGGGTTCTGGATTTTATTACAGATTTTTAGAGGCATCATGGATGGAAACCATTTGAACCCTGAAAAGGGATTACAATGACTTTATTTTTTGGGAGACTCATTAAGAAATCAGGCACTCCAAAGTATTGAAAATTACTACTGGAACCAATCATTCAGACTCCATTCTAAACTACCTATTCTCTTCAAATTAAACCTGGTTATTTGGTCCCACTGGACACTAACAAAGGTGGCAGGGTATGGAAAGAGTACTGTTGTTGTTGTTGTTATGTGCCATTGAGTCAGACCCAACTCATAGCAACCCCTCCTTGGGTTTCCGAGGCGGTATCACTACGGAAGTAGATTGCCCAACCTTCCTTCCAAGGAGTGGCTGGTGGGTTTGAAGCGCCAGCCTTCTATCACCATAGTTCCCAGGTTTTCAGAGGATAACATGAAATACTCAAAGTTTTCATGCTGAAGGAAAAAACCACATCAACCTATTAGGAAATAAACTTTTGTTTTTGGATTAGAGTCGTGAAGTCAGAAAGACCTAGATTTAAAATATAGTCTACCATCTACTAGCTACATGACCTCTGGCAATTTAGCCTCTGTGAGTCTGTTTCCTCATCTGTAAACCAGGAGTAGTAATGCCTACATCAAGGGAAGTGTTGGAACTAGATGAGATGATGTAAAGCACTGGCACATAGAAGCACTCAATAAATGCTCAATAAATGGCTACAGCCATTACAATCACATCACCTCCACCATCAGCTTAGCATTTGTTAAAGATCAATTTGGGATATTTACTGAGTGATGATTAAAGGCTTCCTACTTTTATAACTCAAAACTTCAAAAAATAAAAAGTTGAAGGGAGCTTCAGGTAATTGTTAAATATCTCAGGCAGGGGCAGATTACCCAGTAAGCAAGATAACCATGGGCTTACTTATCCTTATTTGCTAAGTGGTAGTGAACAATTTCATGTGGGTTTCACCTGTGGTGAAACTGTGCACTACTGATTAATAAGTATGCACAAGTAAGTCTGTGCCTATCTTGCTTACTGTCAGGGAATGTAAATTTGAAAAGAGGCTTTGATTCTATAGGAAGATGCTGTGGGCTGGGAAAGAGACAGATGCCAGCTATACCTGAAGCAGAATTTTTGATGTAAAAAAATGTGAAATTGTTCACTACAGATTAGTAAGTAAGTATAAGTAAGCCTGTGCTTACCTTGCTTACTGAGTAATCCGACACTGATCTCAAGGGAACTTGGGGTCCCATAAGCTCTCTCTTTGGTCATAAGATATGACACCCCCCCCAAAAGAAACCCCAAAACCCCAAAAGACCCCACTGCCAATGAGACCTATTTAATTTCTATTTTATCTCCTCATGTCCCCAGCTTGAGGTTGAATCAGAAATTAGGAATTCCTTACAAACGCCATAGGGTGGTAGACTGTTGCAGTAATGACCCTCTATTTGTTCCTGCTTCCCTGTATCCACACCCTTGGGTAGTCCTTTCCCACATGGACTGCAAGCTTGGTCAGCAATACAAGAGCAAATATAACACAGACACTTGAAAAGTAAGACCCATCAAGATTTCCTTCTTGCTGCACCTTGGAACCCTGAGACCATCATGGAAAGTAGCCCTGGCTATCTACTGGAGGATAAGAAGAACACATGGAGCAAAGACGGGCCATTGCTGCTCGGTGCCCCCTCCACCAGCCAGCCTGCCAACTATCTGACATATGAGTGAGGCCATCCTAGACCATCCAGCAGTAGCCAAGCTGTCTGCCAAACAAGAACCTCCCAGGTGACCTACAGCTCAGTAGGAGAAAGACCTGGTGACA